AAATATAATATTCAATATTTTACGGGCGAAAATTTGAAAACATTTATTTTTATAATTTAAATTAGCTAAATTTGTAAGTAACAAAAACAATGTAAATATGAGTTTAGTCTTTATGTATGTTGGCAACTGGCTAGCCATGTAATATGCTAGTGGCCAAGAGCAATTGCTATTAGGATTTAAACCAATTTTCATTTTTTGAATAAATTGAGTTGTTATAATAAAATTGTTGCACATCATACAAATCTCGTTCGATTTTGATGTTCTTAATATTGTTGAAAAGGTGACGGAATTCTCTGCAACTTTCATTTTGAGCGCTCCAGATGAATCTCGACAAACAAATCGCAGCAACTGCGAACATTTGAATTTAGTGGAAAAATAATAACCAGAACCTACCCCGCAGCGATAAAATTTTTGCACGTTAGGGTTTTGATGTTCTTAATATTATTGGAAAGGTGACAAAATTCTCTACAACTTTCATATTGACCGCTCCAGACGAATCCCGACAAACAGATCGCAGCAACTGCGAACGTTTGAATTTAATGGAAAAATAATAACTAGAACCTATCCTGCAGCGATAAAATTATTGCACATTGTTAAATTTTAGTACGATTTTGACGTTCTTAATATCGTTGAAAAGGTAACATAATTCTCTACAACTTTTGTACCGTCCGCTTTGGTCAAATCCATCGCATTAATTTTGAAAAAATTTAATTGAAACTCACCTCACAACGATAAAAACTCCATACATCGCTCAATTCTCGTCCGATTTTGACGTTATTGATATCGTTGAAAAGGATACATACATTTTTATAGCATTTCCGCCGATCGCTCGAGGCGAATCTCAATGAAAAAATCACAGCAATTACAATTATTCGAATTTCATGGCAAAACAATATTGGAAACCCCCACCTCTACAATATTGAAAAGGTTACATAAATTTTCATGTGAGGTCTTCATTTCTCTCTCTCACACGTACATACGTTCTCTCTCTCTCTCTATCTCATAAGCAAACTTTCAGGTAAAATATTCAAAGTCATACACTAAACATGACAGATAATATTCATCTTATGAGCAGCAAGAATGGTACCCCTGACCTTCTCTCTCTACTTTCTCTCTCTACTTTCTCTCTCTACTTTCTATTCTGATGCAGACAATTAAGTATGGCCATGGTAGGACAGGGCGATGAGATCATGCGAGGACAAGCTTTCCGAATGTTAGTGTCACGTCCATTTCATGCATGTGAATATATGACCTCACTCCCATTGTTCTCTCTCTCTACCCCATGTCACTTTACAGTAACAGACACAACTTTCACTCTCTCTCTCTCTCTCTCCTCTCTCTCTCTCTCCTCTCTCTCTCTCTATATATATATATCGAAAATATTGGAATATTTACTTACATATCACATAATTCTTATGTATTTACACATGTAACACTGATATTTATATATTACATGCATAATTCTCAAATCTTTAATATTATATAGTGATGTGTATATTTTCTTGCTTAGATTTATAACACTAAAGTGCTATAAACTTAAATATTGAATTTATAAAATCTAGCCTACATAAAGTAAAAAAATTTCTTTCAAGATTGTCATGATACATAACTTTTTCATAACTTGAGATATATTTAACGTGTCTGAAATATTGTGGCAACTGATTTGTCTTCATTTATATCGTGCATGAATCTCAGAGCAAATTGAGGGAAAAAAAACATTTTAAACGTGAATTTATGATCATCTAAGCTTTGATTTCATCAAACGTACGATGAAATTGGGTATCTCGATAAGGTGAGCTCAGTGAAGCCAAATTAAATTGATTTGATTCGAGTTCGATAAAGCCCAAATCAAGTGGTTTAAGCACAAGTGGAGGATTTAGATGGGCAATTGAATGGTCAAATAAATTCTAAATCTAACAAGCTTATAGTTAAATTGAGCGTCTCGTTGAGCAAAATTCAACAAGCTCAAGATAACTCAATTCTAATATCATTAAAGTACTCAAATGCTCATAGAATATCAACTAATCAAGGGAATCACTCTGGGTCGTCGAATATAGTGGCCTGAAATTATACAGTATTTACGGAGGATAACTTCCAAAATCTATAAATAGAGTCTCATTGCCTTCATGAAAGGGGACTTGAGATATAGACATGAAGGAGGTGGTTGAAGTTGCGATCCAACATTTTGAGGTTTCTTAAGTTCTACCAATGTCGGAGAATCGCTGACCAATCATCTCCGTTGCTACACCACTGATGCCCGCGACCACCGTCGTTAAGACATCACCACCGTCGGGCCACAATCATTGGTTACCAACCACCACCGCCGCAGCTGGAATGTCATTGCCTAGCTACCTTTATCAAGCCACCATCATCACAAGGCCACTGTCACTACTTCCCTGCTATTATGCTTATGTATTTTCTTTATATTTCTTTGTGGTACTAGACATTTTCTCTTGTTGTTGTTGTTATTGATGTAATATTTTGATTGGTTTATTGTTGCTTTGGGTTGTAAGTGAGTTTATCTGTTGTAATATTGTAGTCCTTTTTAATGCAGATTTCATGTTAAACCTGTTGAATAGAGATTCACTTACTGCTGCATACCGCTCTTTTCTATTCATGCATGTATATTTTTTATGATAGAATCATGTGGTGGAAAGAACCTTTTAAATGCTGAAATTTATTTGAACTCAACCACTTGTATTTCAAAATTGTTATGATCTAAAAGGAATTTGAGGTATGTGGATTTAACTTGAAATTATTACAATTTTGAGAAAAGAAAAACATATTATTTTTATTTTAAGTTCTATGTAAACGAGTTTAAACTGGTGTGGAGTGAACTTATAGTTTAAATTGTAGAAAAATGGTTTCACTATTTACTTTTACAAAAAAATATTTATTTGTTAAACCAAGTATCCTAGATAAATACTTCATAAGAATTTAGTCTCTAGTAAAATTATAAGTTTCAAGTATTTTACACTTCCTTTGGAAAATTTAAAAAAACAAATAAAAGAGTGTGATAGGTTTCACGTTAGAGGGTGAGAGTGGAAATTAAAACTATTAAAGGTCCATCTAGATATAGTAATTCTCCTTAAAGTAAAGCCAAGGATTACACTATACATCCTAAAGTTAAAAGAAAAAAAAATATTAAAGGAGGAGAAGCATGAGGAGAAGCCTTATCAAAAACTAGTTTCACTAGACTTTTTTTAAAGTCGAAACATATTACATTCCTAAGCTTATGTGTATTCAAAGTGAATGTGTAAGTCTTTTTAAAAATGGAGCACTTAAATTCTATCTTTGCACCATCTAAGGTACTTTAGTTAGCAAGTGTTTAATCCGTTGTAAATTGAATAGAAAAATCAAGTTTTTCTAGTTAAATGAAAGATTTACTCATACCCTAAGGATAGACTTGTTTGCCAGAGTTCATCTAAATTTACTTTATGTATTTCTTGAAGAAAAAATTATGGAGAATTTTAATGAAGCTCATTTCCTGAAATTAATAAAAATTGATTTTAAAAATTATAGTCCTGTTTGAGGACAAGTAACATTTAAGTTTGAAGGATTTTGAAATGGTTTAAAGCAAGCTTAGCTTTTTTTCTCCTTTGCACATTTTATGGATAAAAGTGCACTTTAAAGAAGGGTATTTGTTGTGTTTTTATTCCAGGTACAACATGTAGAAGAAGTGGAACGAAGTGGAGAAGAAATGGAGCAAAACGTACATGACTTGGAGTTAAGGGAAGACCAAGTGACTGGCGCCTAGGCACCAGCCTTTGGACGCCAAGGCACTGCACTTGAGCTCCTTTTCGCTACATGATAGGGCGCCTAGGTGCCAGTTCCTATCCAAGAAGATAGAGAGCTTGGCGCATAGGCACCAACAACTGTTGAATCAGTTTTCAGAAGTTGTTGTACACGGCCCGAGGAGTTGAACGGTGAATATATACAGCTCCTTGGACATGTGGGAAAAAAGGACAACAGGAAGACTTTTGAACGATAGGGAAGAACTCTAAGGAGAGTTTATGGTTGGAGGCTTGTGATAGGATAGTTTTATTTACTGTTTATTGAGGGTTTGGAGAAGGATTTGAAAGCGATTGTGTAAGGGAGATGCTCAGCATTGCAAGAGGCATTTGGGGATTCTTTGTGGAGGAGTTTTCATCACTTTTTATAGGGGAAAAGCTAGGTACTATTTTTTATTTCATATTGTATTGTTTGTAAACACACTTATAGTGGATTTGATTTGTTTTAAGAAAATGATTTGTGGTATTTATTTTATGCATGGTGAGTAGTTTCTTCTTACCTTTCTCTTGTGATGAATATTTTGGTCGTATAGGATTGTAGGATGCTTTTAGAATTAGTTTTAAATCTTTATTGTGATGAGTATTCTTCCATGCTTAATTTACTTTTCATTCTCGTCAAATAATTAGTTAAAATATGTTCCCGAACAAAGTCATTTTGACAACCCTAATCACGCAGTCGTAGCATGTTAAGGATTGGGACAATATTGAACTCTTATTGTTTATATTAAAACATAATTTTAATATAATTTAATATATTTTTATTCTATTTTATTAATTACTAATTTTAATTGATTATAAATCTTTTATATATAATTGATCAGTTGTAATTAGAGCCCAAACGAGCCAAACACGAACAAACAAATCTTGGTTCATGTTCAACTCGTTTATATATTGAGAACACAAAAAGTATTCCTGTTCGGCTCATTAACTTAGCAAACGAATCAAATATGAGTTTCTTAAGGAGCCAAACACGACCTGTTCGCGAACAACAAGTCGTTTTGACAACCCTAATCTCGTGCTACAACATACTGCCGAACTCCAGCTGCCTCTGATCAGACGGCCATCACCCCGAGGTCCGATCTGGACGGACCGACTCCTCACATCGGATCGCGCCCCTTAATTATCACCACAATTATCATTAATTTATTATTAACTCTCATTCTTCCAACTTAATTCATCATATTATTATAATATCCTCTTCCCTCGGGATCTGTAACGTGCAAGCTCGAACCCCACCCTTTCTCTCTCTACCCTCTCTCTCTCTTCCCCGTAGCTGAAATCCATGCGATCATGGCGGTGTCCTTCCCCTCGTCAAATTTGACCAAATGGTTCCCCTTCTAGTTTTCCTCACAACTCCATCTTTCCCCAAAAACCGTTTTTCTAGGGTTTACTCGTTCTGATTTCACCCCATTTCTGTCCTGAATCGGAGAAAAACAAAATCAAATCTTCCGCCACAGCCGCCGCCGCCGCCGCCCCCGGCGGAGACGACGAAACCGGAAAGTTTACGGAAGATCATCTGCGAGACGATCCGATCGCCGGATCTCGATCGTTCTTACAATTTCATCGAGTTTCATGAAACCCTAACCCTAGGTCAAGAAAGCAGCAGCCGCCACCCCTAATCCGAAATAATTACCTCTGGTGCGAATCGTACTGTCCCGCTTTAGACGCTGCTCCATTAATTCTCACCTAACCATCTGCTCTTTTTGTCTTCTTCCGGAGAACCAGAACGCGACAAAGAGCCGGACCGAAAGGAAGACACAACGCTAGGGACAGAGATAGAATTCGAATTCGATGTCGTCTTCGAGCTCGCCATGTGCGGCGTGCAAATTTCTCCGGCGAAAATGCGCGCAGGGATGCATATTCGCGCCGTACTTTCCGCCTGAAAATCAGTCGAAATTCTCTAATGTGCACCGCGTTTTTGGGGCCAGCAATATCGCCAAGCTGCTCGCCGATCTGTCGCCCGATCAGCGGGAGGATGCCGTCAATTCCCTCTCCTATGAGGCCGAAGCTCGCATCAACGATCCCGTGTATGGATGCGTCGGGTATATTTCCCTGCTTCAGCATCGGCTTGTGCAACTCCAACGCGATCTCTCTGCTGCAAAGAGAGAGCTTTCTAATTACATCAATCACGCAGCGGTTGGAGGACCGAACAATCAATTCTATGCAACCCCTCCATCTATGTACAGAGATCAAAATCAACAGATGCAGAGGATGGAAGCAGAGCAGTTCGCAGAGGTGATTGCAGCGGCGACTGAGCACGAGATGCTGAGGAATATAGAGCAGCAACATGTAATGGCGAGGTTTATGGGTGTTGGAAATGTTGTTGATTCGTCGTCTTGTCAGCCATTGGAGTTGGTTTCACCGCATATTGGTGGGTTTCAGGGCTCGCTTGCGGTGTTGCAGCAGAAACACGGAGGACAGGTACAGGAAGGGAGTGGGGCTCAAGTTCGTCATGTCAGAAGAAGTTTTGATGATGGGAGAAATGGAGTTGGTCCATCTTCATCATGATAATCTTTTTCTTGTTGGTGGTGAAGTTTTCTGCTTTGTTGCGTCGAGATTGCTGTGTTTGTTTTATGCTCTGAGGTAAGCATCGATATACTGCTCTGATCTCCTTCTTCTTTCTCTCGATTAGGGTTTAAAACCTATAAAGTTCAAATCTTTTTTTTTTGTTATTGATAGTACAGTTAAAAAAAGCTGGATTTTTTAGTTTTGAAAAGACCACTAATATTATCTCACTTTCTATCTTATCGGTTGGGCTAAAAAATTCCTTTGATCTTCCCGTATCTTCTACTGTAGATACCTCTCTCTCTCTAGGATTCTCTCTCAATCTATACTAGTCTGATCTCCTTCTCTCTCGATTAGGGTTTAAAACCTATAAAGCTCAAATCTTTTTTTTATTATTGATAGTACAGTTAAAAAAAGCTGGATTTTTTAGTTTTGAAAAGAACACTAATATCATCTCACTTTCTCTCTCATCTGTTGAGCTAAAAAATTCTTTTGATCTTCCCATATCTTCTACTGTAGATACCTCTCTCTCTCTAGGATTCTCTCTCTATCTATACTAGTCTGTGATCTCCTTCTTCTTTGTCTCGATTAGGGTTTAAAACCTATAAAGCTCAAATCTTTTTTTTTAATGGATTGTACAGTTAAAAAAAAGCTGGTTTTTTGAGTTTTGAAAAGACGACTAATATCATTTCACTTTCTATCTCATCTGTTGGGCTAAGAAATTCCTTTGATCTTCCCATATCTTCTCCTGTGGACACCTCTTTCTCTCTCTTTAGAATTCTCTCTCTATCTATACTAGTCTGATCTCCTTCTTCTTTCTCTAGATTAGGGTTTAAAACCTATAAAGCTCAAATCTTTATTTTTTTTATTGATCGTACAGTTAAAAAAAAAAAGTTGATTTTTGAGTTTTAAAAGAAATTAATATTATCTCACTTTCTCTCTCATCTGTTGGGCTAAAAATTCTTTTGATCTTCCCATATCTTCTACTGTAGATACCTCTCTCTCTCTAGGATTCACTCTCTATCTATACTAGTCTGATCTCCTTCTTCTTTCTCTCGATTAGGGTTTAAAACCTATAAAGCTCAAATCTTTTTTTTTAAATGGATAGTACAGTTAAAAAAAAGCTGGATTTTTGAGTTTTGAAAAGACCACTAATATCATCTCGCTTTCTATCTCATCTGTTGGGCTATGAAATTCCTTTGATCTTCCCATATCTTCTCATGTCGATACTTTTTTTTCTCTCCTTAGGATTCTCTTTCTATCTCCTTCCTCTATTCCTTCATTTCTTGCGCAGAAGAAAGTATTACATGTGATAATATACGTGGTGGTGATATATAGTATTATTGTGATGAATACCATTATAATATCACCAAATATACACCTACACTCTAATATTTCTAATTATATATTAATAATTATAAATGGGTGTGTGTTAATAATTATAAACATTTTTATATTATCATAAATATAATATGTTTACATTGTTGTGGATGGGGAATGGGAGTTTGGAAACATTTTTATATTAGAAATAGCATTAGGCTTAAACGCACTTTCATAATTTTTAATGGCTATCATATTATAATATGAAGTATTTGATTGATCTTTATGAAAGATTTATTGCATGCAACCTCTTTATTTATGTATTTATATATTTAACACTTAAAAATTTGATTTTTATATAGATACCAATTATACCTATCCATAAAAAAAAGTGTATTTCATTTTTTAAGAATTAAAATGGTGGTTTTTTTAATGTGATATGAAAGATTTGTATGATGTAATTGTAAAAATCACATTTTTGGTGTTGGATATATAAATACATAAGAATTGGCAAATATAAAATAAATAAAGAAATAATAAAAACTTGTAAAAGTATAAAAAAAATACTATAATTAACTTTTTTTAATAAAGTAGTTAGAAAAATAAATTACTAATGTTTTTAAACGGATTCATATTAATTTTTTATTTTTTATTTTTAATTGCACTAAACTTTAAATTATCAAAGATTTTTTTTTATTAAATGATAAAATTCATCATATTTATTGACACATAATATATTGTCCATGTTCTTATCACATGCATGACATGATCTCTTAACCTTCTATCCATCACCTTCTTCATCTCTAAATATGATTATTGTCCTTAAAAACCTTATTAAGCTTTAGATTATCAAATTTATCATATGAAAAAATTTCATTAGTTATTTTATTTTTTTTAATTTGCAAAAAGATTAATGTATTTTGAGGTCCATAGTATATATTATATAGAGAATTATTCATATACATCACATTGATATTGATATAATTAAACTAATGGTATTGAAAATTTAAGGGTCTATTTGGGATCTTTTTTCTTTATTTTTTTACTTAAAAATAAGTTTATTTGGTGTGCATTTAATATATTTTAATTTTTTATTTCAAAAAAGAAATTAAGATATTTTTTAAAAAACTAAAAAAAAAAAATTGAAGGTGCTTTGAGTGTTTTGAAAAGAAAAATCCACATCTTAATAAAAAAATATCCCAAACAAGTCTGATAAATTTTAAAATTTTTAAATATTTTTATAAATAATTTAATTTATTTTTGTAACAAGAAAATAAAACATGAAAGAAAAAAATAAATTACATATTTTTTAAAAATAAAAATGATCCCAAACAAGTCTAAGAGTTTGTTTAGGATTACTTTTGTTGTTGGTTTTTTTTTATTTTTAAAAAATATTTATTTAGTGCATTTTTTGTAATTTTATATTTTTTGCTTTAAAAAATAAATAAAGTTATTTTTAAACAAATTTAAAATGTCTAAAAATTATTTTGAGTATTTCTAAAAAGATTTAAACATATTATAACATACCAAATATATTTTATTTCAAGTAAAAAATAAATAAATAAATCAAATAAAATAAAAATAAATAGAAAATAAAAATGATCCTAAAGTCCCTCAAATAAGCAAATCATTTTCTAAATAAATAAATAAATAAGACTTCTTTGAAAAATTAGACTTGAGAAAACCCCCCATGATAATTACTTGTACATAAAACACAGTGCAAAACCTTGACCAACAGAGATAACGAAGACTCCCTTTTCTCCATTATCTTCCTTTTAATCAATTTATTTATTTCCCCCTCTCTTCTCCTACCCACTGAATCCGCCATTGTTGCAGACTGCAGTGCAGAAGCACGCAATTGTTTGTCTGACACCACCATTAATTTCATATGCTGACAGATGAATTCCCCGTACAGAATGCAGCAGGCCTATATTTCAAGCTCAAGAAACGAACATAAAACTGATATTTTTTGCAGAGCAGACAAATGGGGAAGATGAAGCCGCACCAGTAGCATACCCTGCAATAAACGTAAAGAATCACATAATGATAAGTACTTCTATATATATTTATATGTATAAAGCTATGTTTTTTAGCCTTTTTTGGTTGTTTATGCAGAGGTTTTGCTGATTGAGGTAACTGGTCTCGAATATGCTTTTCTGTTTGTGGGGAATGAGTACTTTTATTTTCCATGTTTTGTTTTTGCCGCTCTTTGCTGGCTTTGGAGGGTTAGAAAACAACAAAATAACTTATTGTTTTGAGTTTAATAACTTTTTTTTGATTTTTTATGTTTGTATCCTCACAAGAAGTAGAGTTGAAGGAGTCATCTAAAACTAATTGTTAAATATGACTAATAATTGTTAATGAGAAAAAGACGGTGGTGTTGAATTCTGATTTGTCCGTGAATCACATTCTAATGAATAGAGTGCAAGAAAGGAGAGAGAGAGAAAAAAAGAGAACAACAATGAACTTTAAATTGTATCGATTATGTTGAACTTTCCCGGCCTTTTTTTGGCTAAGTTGTTATCATTTGTATATTAAATGATCTTCCTATTTATGTGGGAGAAGTACAATATGAAGATATTACATTTTTTTCCCCTGTTTTAATGGGCGTTGTACATATATTCTTGGTATTTTGTTCTTTGGCTCTTTTGATAGAGCTTGAGTGGCTTCGGGTCGCCAAGATAAGTTAGGTAGACTAGGTTTAATCTTCATTAACGATCAACTGATTTAGTCTAATTGTTAACGCTCGACCCCTGATGAGAAACACTTATCAGCAAAGTGTTGTTGGACTATCGAGCAGATCTAAGGTGAATCAATGTGATCCGATAGCTACTCGCTCCTTAACGAGCTTGGAGAGCATGAGGTTAAGATGACTATAAGTCTCTTTGCTTCACAGTTAATTTTTTATTTTTTATGAGGAGCCCCCGGGCTCCTATGGGATGGTTGATGATATTGTATAATTGCACCTTCCTCAAATCAGATCTACCAGAAAGTAGGCTACCATATTGGATCAGTTTTCTTATAGTGGTTGGCTCGGATGCATATTTGTCCTGTTTAATTTTAGTCTAAATGGATCGGGCTCGAATAACTCTGTAGTCCTTTTGTCCTCCTTATGACTCAGTTGATTTAGGCTTTGGCTTAGATGACTACATTCGGTCGATTAAGTGGGCCACTTAGTCTTCTGTCACTGAGTCCTCCGTCGTAGTATGTTCCTTTTAACTATTAGATATTCTCAAGAGCAACATTGACACAATTTCAATGTACATATTTTAGTTTCTAACTACTCTTAATTCTTAAAAATAATATTTTGATAATAACAAAAGAATTTAATACAAAAAGTATATATCATTTATTCTTAATCTGTGATTCAATAATTGAACTACTATGCTTCTTTGGTCCTTATAAAGAAGCCATGACGGGACTTTTTGACATTCGATATTTGATTTGCATCCTTTTTTATTTAAATCAGTTGGCTTCCGGGCACTATAATGGAGAACGTGTCGAATCCTTTGACGGAAGCCCACAACAAAAAGAATTGCTTCGTGTTGCCTTTGGAAGATCGAAGAAGTGGTATTGCCCAAAAGATGACAACAAGAAGAATATCATTACTAAAAAAAGAAAATGGTTGCGCTGACAGATCAGTTGAGGTCATCTGATTCATTCCTCGGTACCAAGAGAAGGAACGTTTAGACGACTGACCCAACTATCAATCTGATAGCTCAACCTTTTGTTGGGGCACAAAACTTGTCGACCGAAAGGGCCATGCAAGAAGTTGTTGGTGCTCTGACAATGTCCAGGGTGCAAGATATTGTTGGTGCTCTGCGCCACCCATTGAGAGCAGTGTTTCGATTAGAGGGACTGAGTTGGATTGACTTCTTATTTTGAAGAGCCTCGATCTTGCTTGTTAGATTTTAATTTTTTTCTCTCATTTTCCTTAGGTTGTCTCCTGATGCAGCAGACCCAATAGACTTAGGTGATGATTTGATCTTTTGAGCGAGGATGATAGAGGTGATGGCCCAGATGATCGTACCAAAACTCACATGGAAATAATTATTAGACATTGGGTGTCTCCTGGATCATTGGATCATTTGCTGGACAAGATCTAAATCTTTTTCGCTCACACTTCAATAATTTAATTAGCATATTTGTGTCAGATAGATCCGACGTAAATCAGATGCAAGTTCAACAATATTTAAAGGTTCGTGTCAGATTTATGTCTAATTTTTGTCTAATTATTTCTGACGTTAAATTGGGGGTCGGTAATTTTATTTCAGTCTATTTATGTCAAAGTATTCTAATGCAAATAATTTGCATCAGTTGTTACGTCTGATTTGTTTATATGTAACTCACGTCAAAATTTACGTGTGAAAATATTTAATGATGAATCTTAGTGTCAGGTTATCGTCTCATTATGTCAAAAAATATCGTAGAATGATGATAAAATATTGTAGATGTGGCGTCAAATTTTGTGTATGAAAACGGACGCAAATCTATAACATAGAAAAAAAAATCGAATATGAATTATAGTTTCACAACCTGCACAACAACTCATTCCATATCACAGACGACATTAAGCATAGTCATATCACGGATTAAATTTATAAACAATATCATTAATAAAAGAAAGATACTATCACAAATCATCCCAAATAAGAATAGTAAAGTTAATCCAAAAAATTTCACAACAAATATTTAACATAATACTTACAAATAAAAGAAAAAAAAAACTACTCATCATCTCCTCCTCCTCCTCCTCCTCCTGCACGGATGTCATCGGCTGCTAGCCTCAACTATCTGCTAAGGTCTCCGTCGTGCGCTCTATAAAGTCCTCAACTATATGTTCCCCTTGTTTGGCATCTACCTAAAAAGATCTTAAGATGAATTTTTTAAAATACGTGTTTGGCATAGCTTCTGGGAAATTTTTAGGATTTGTAGTGTGACATCAAGGGATTGAAATAGACCTTGAGAAAATAATAAAAAAAAAACATTAGGAATGTGACCCTTAAAAACTTAACCCAAATAAGAACACTTCAAGATAAGTTGACATATTTAAGACGCTTTAATATTTTTGGAAAATGCTAACCATCTTCGGCACTTACAAAAAAAAAATGTCAAATTTGTTTGTAATGATAAATGCCATCAAGCATTTGAAAACATAAAAATAATATTTGTCGTATTAGCGACACCCATCCCAAGGCGACCACTATTATTATATAATGCTACTTTATATGAATCTCTTGGTGATTTATTATCTCACATAACTGTGGAATCATTGTATTACTTGAGTCGTCAATTGATACCAGCCAAAAAGAACTATCCTCTGATTGAAAAACATTGTTTGGCCTTAATTTTTGCAGTCCAAAAATTAAGACATTACGTGCTCTCTCGCAAAATCCATCTCATTTTGAAATTCAATCATTTGCAATACCTGATGACTCGCTCAACACTATGTGAAAAACTAGCAATATGATTAATGATTCTATTGTAATTTGATATAACTTATGTGCCCTTTCGTGTAATTAAAGGTCAAGCTCTAGCAGACTTCTTTGCAGTACACTTGCTCCCTGCAGTGTCTGTTCTTAATGATTATCATCTTGAGGATTCAATTTTAGACTTTGAAGAGACAAACGAACCTTGCTGGAAAATTTATTTTAATGGAGCATCACCCTCTAGGAAAGATGTTAACTCACATGATACTAACCATAGTAAAGCAGAAATTAGGTTTATCTTCATCACCCCTGATTAAAGAATGTTGAGATTTTCATATCATTTGTCAAAGCATTGCAACAATAATGTAGTAAAATATTATTAGGCCCTACTCATTGACCTACACTTAGAAATTATAATGAGACCCTGCTCACTGGCCCTGCTCACTGGTGTACAGTTAGTGGTTAATGAAATTGCTAGAAAATATCATACATTAAAGCCTAAGCTCTACTAATATCATTAGTATACCATGAAATTGCTTGAACAGATACAAGATGTTACTATATACAAAATTTCTCATGGTAACAACACTTGTGAATGCTTTGATAAAATAAGCTAAGGAAATAGCTTGTCCGGAAGAGGAATATATTCCAATCAAAGTTCAAGGTTATTGGGTTCTCTCTCCTATCGATATGGAATATTTGAGTAAAGTAAACTTCGAAAAACATGTCACCACAACTACTCAAAAAGAAGAAGATTCAAATTGACAAAGTCCTTTCATAGATTAACTGCATGAAGGAGAGCTTCCTAAAGATAAATCTCTCGCTCACCAAATATAAATGAGAGCCCTGTCTTTAACTCTATCAAATGATACACTTTATCAAACATCTTCGATCATATGTGGCTAAAAATCTTAAACAAGCAGGAACTCCACATGATCGTTAAAGAGGTGCACTTTTTATTATGTGATGCTCATCAATCAGGTCCCAAAATGTAAGCAAAAACCAATAGAATGGGATATTATTCGCCTATGATGATCAATGAATACATGGAGACCGCCAAATATTGCTACCAATGTCAAGTTCATGGTATAGTCTTACATCAGCCTTATCTAGTGTACTGCACCAATCAATTTGTCTCCTGGCCCTTGAATGTTGACATACAAATATAATAGGATCTATTGATCCTCCCTCATCAAAAAGTTATTGATTTATATTTGATGCAATATATTACTTCTCTAAATGGGCAGAGGTCATACCGTTAAGAGAAAGTCAAAGCCCACCATGTCAAAGCCCACCATATGTTGTAGTTCTTCAAAAACCATATTTTCTATAGATTTGGTATCCCTTATCGAATCATATTCGATAATGGTCTTGATTTCAAAAGTACCAAGATCAACAACTTTATGACTCGACACAATATTGACTGGGGCTATTCCACCATCTATTACCCTCGAGCCAACATATCAGCGGAAGCTTTCAATAAAAGTTTAGTTCAAATTCTAAAGATGATATTGGATCAAAATAAAAGATAGTGGCACAAATAGCTGGTTGAAGCACTCAGGGCTTACCAAAATACACAAAGAACTCCAACTCAGTCTATTCCCTTTTCATTAGTTTATGAGTCTGAAGATGTACTTCCCCTAGAGGTTCAACTTACTTCGCTGAGAATTGCAACATGCTTGGCAAACCCTCCAAAATAGAACGTCGTAATACTACAAGAAGAACTGGATGGGCTAGATTAAGCTTGTCTGAAGTAAAAAAAAAATCTTGAGTTGTACCAGTCACGCATGATTCAAGCTCATGACATGTTGGTTAGACCCAAAACATTTTGTGTAG